TGCATTATTCCCTACTGCATCGTACACAACATCAATATTCCACTTGTACAGGATCTTTTCCTGTTTGTGTGGATACAGATTGTCCGACAGACTCGCGTCCGGCATACTTGCGTCAAATCCCGACATCACGATCAAAGTCCGATTGCACGTGTCGAAAACCTTGTACTTGAATAGTTTCTTTTTGAACGTAAAAACTCATATTTCGTCATATCCCAACAGGTGTTGCGGCACCCATCAAAGCAGTTTTCGTTGGTGTTGCGGCACCCATCACGGCCTTACATCACCCGTTATTGCAGTTTCCGTTGGTGTTGCGGCACCCATCATAACATTTCCATTGGTGTTGTGTCACCCATCATAGTTTTTGTAGTACGCTCGATGCCGTTTCGTTGTCGTTGTGATTTTCATTTTTTCATTTTCATTTTCATTTCATTTTTGTTCGTTGAATAACTTTCAGCAGTTATTGCTGGGTCTGATAAACAATATAAATATTATCGTTACAACGTTACGATGTTGTTGACTTACGAAGTAGTAGCTATGATAGACGGTAGACAGTATTGCAATCAAACGTATTCTTAGAAAGAGAGTGTTCATGCTTCATCGGCGGCTTTCGTAAGCGGCCGATTTATCCTTACTACTCACGGACCACTTGCAATTGTACATGTTTGTATCAGTACGACGCATCTCGTATCCAATAGCACAGTCACCTTTAATTGCCTAGACTACCGTAGTACAATAATCATTTAAGTTTGGACTGTGGATTATGGCTGTATCTCGGATAATATAATATAAAATATACTCGTTATACCGGTACGTCAAAACTAGTATTGCAATTTTTGGGTGGAAAATAAAATGGTCAAAATCGATATCTTGATCATCATCAAATCAATTTGTTACCCTCATTAGAGACTAACTTGGAACTTCTCAAAATAATCAGGATTCGAGCTTACGAGTACTTTATATATTTCTATACGATCTACAGATCCTTGAAAAGTTCATGTGCATCTGTCATTTGCAAAATTTTGACCTTTGTTCTTTTCTTCATTTGTTGTTTTGCTTCTTGCTGCAGATTTTGCTGGGTTCCAACTTTTAGGGGACACATAATCCGGACCATTTTTGTTATGGCGCGAACATCGTACCTCCGGGTTCCGTTGGACAAAAGTTTTGTTCTGCACATTTTATCATTGGAGTTTGGATCATGGCTGTATCTCAAGCTAATAAATCATCCCCGCACAGCCAGCCTATGAAAAGAAGCGACACTATGGCTGATGAATCAGTGGTAGCAGCAACCAAGGTTCGCAATTTGTCACCTGATGAAGCGTATGAAGCCTCCGAAGTCTCGTGTCACTACGAAGAAGCAAAGCAACTCTTGAACGAAGGCAAATTCGAGGAGGCTCTCGCTTCTATTGAGAGCGGCATCAAAGCAGTCAAAGACGCGATGCCGGGAGCTGCGATGGCTCCTTTTCATTACCTTTATGGCACTACGCTTCTCTATCAGTTGGAGGAATCTACGGATGTGGATGTAACAGTTGCAACCGAGACTAGTGACGAGAACGCTGATGACATGCAGATTGCTTGGGAGAACCTCGAAGCTGCACGAATCTTGGTTGAAGCTGCTTTATCTCACGTTCTGAAAGATGCAACAAAATCATGCACGAAGACGAAACTTGAACTCGATCTTGCTCAAATTGCACTCCGATCTGCTGATTTGCAGAGGATGAACGGAAGATACAGCGAAGCTATTGAAGACTACCAGACCTGCCTCGACTTGCGCAAATTGCACTTAGATGAATATGACCGCAAAATCGCTGATTGTTTCTATAACATTGCATTGTCCAACCTTTTGGCCTGCACAGAACTACAGAAGGAAGCAACAGAGTCGAAGAACAGTGCAGAGGGAACAAGCCGCGAGGATCGAGCTCGAGAGCATCGTGAAGCTGGAATTGAGCTGTACCTTGATTGCGCAAAGACACTGTGTGGAGAGATAGCATTTCTCTGTGGAAAACAACCATCCGACATTTTAAATGGACCAGAATTCAAAACCAGTACAGAGGAAGAGACCACGACAGCAAGTCAAAAATCTGAAACTCTACGACGATGGCGAATGGCGGTCTCCTCAGCTTCTCCATCGATGCAAGGTGATCAAAATCTGGTGGATTTGATTCAAATGTTGGATGAAATTCAAGAGACTATTGATGAAGCCGAAAAATCTCAAGATGCAATTCGTCAGGCATCCATGTTGAAGCAACAGGCTCGTGACGATGTCGCTAACGGTAAGGCGGGAGCTGATAATGGACAGACGAGTGCGATTGGTTTCGATAAGCCGACCGCGGCCATCGCCACCAAAGATGTTGATGTAGCCGGAGAAAGTGCAAAGAGCATCATGGTTGTCAGAAAGAAGAAGAAACGAAAAAGAGTAGAAGATTCCGAGCCGATCGCCGAGGGAAAAAAGCCCAAAGTGGAATAACCCATTGCATGTCGTGTGTTTTGTTCGAAGATCCTACATGTTGGTGGTAACTGATATTGCAATTTCGGAGGAAGATGATTCATTTTTTACTCGAAAACAAAATCCTAGTCCTCGTGCCCACATAGCTGTATTTTTGTAGTCTTGACTTCCGTTGCCATTTCTTCACTATCCGATGTTGCGCATATGTGGAACAAGACGACAACGCAGGAAACCAGGGATCCTATTAGCATCGCAACTATGCCTTCTTTTGGAGAAGCTGGAATTTCTTCCAACCATTTGTATTCGACGGCGATGACCTGCGAAGTAGATGGACCCCTAGTAGTGCTTATTGACATTGAATCAATAGCACCTTGTCCACTTTTGGAGTATACGAAGGTTATGATTAACCGATCCAAGTCCTTTGTGTCGATCCAAGGCAGCATGTGCAATCCATCTTCAAACCCGAACGATAGCATTCCTTTCCGCTCGAAAGTGGCCATTGAAGACTGACCAAAAAGAGGCATCTCAACCCTTTTCATTGAAGTGAACTCTTGACCCGTCCATACAATTCCATCAACGGTATCACCGATCTTATAAGATTGCACACCAACTGCCAATGTTGCAATCAGAAAACAACAGCGAATCATAATTGTTGCCGAATGGGAGTTCATTTTCGCCTAGTTTGTGGCACGGAATTTTTCCTGCTGAAGACTGTAGATTGTAGCAACCGACTATCAGCGCTTTGAATGCAATGTAGTTCTTGTCCGCTACAGTACAGTATTATGGAGAGTTCAAAATACCAAAGGCTCTCCGATGAGATCAGACTTTTCCTTGGCCACTTTTTCAGTACCTACTCGTAAATGATCACGATGATTCATTCGATTCACTGTTCATTCACTGCCAGCCTGTGATGACCAAACTGCGACAAACGACTGACTAAGACTGGCGTAACGTGACTGACTGGACTGCCGAGTCCCGAGCAGATATATTAGAGCGACCGAAGGCCAACGGTCGTCGCCAATCTCAATTCCAAGATCAATCATCTATCATCTACTCACAGCTGCTTCAGACCCCCGTAAATACACCCCATTAGCAATATCAATCACCGTCTATCATGTCCAACAGTAGCTACATCAACGCACTAGTACGCTCTCTCTACGAGGAGAGCCAGGAGCACAACGTTGTCACGTTAAGCTGGAGCCAAAATAGCTCTGATGCTAGACATAGAGAAGCAATACTTTCTACTTGAGAATGTCTTTCCCATGTCAAAATGATGCACACGTGTAATCTTTGTATCTGTTTCAAAACAAACTGCCCATTCGGAATCATCGTATAGTATTGGTCGAAGATTGGTCCTGTGGTACTGACGTAGACGCGATAGCGATCTGGATCAAGGTTTTACCGGTATCCGTTGAGGCACGATTTACTGAAACCTCGAATGACTGCGCCACCCATTTTCTTTCGAAGCATTATCTATTATCAGCATTAATACATCTTGCTTCCAAAAGAAATTCTTCTAAATTCGAAAGCTGTAGCATCATAGCATGTCGAGCAATCCAGCTGCGATCCAAGGTTGGGTGAAAAGCGTTGATCCAAACAGTGGTCGTTTCTTCTACGCAAACCACATCACTCGCAAGACTCAGTGGGAGCCACCACCAAATTGGGTGGAGGAGTCATCACCCGCCCATACATCTTCCCACAATGATAATGATGGTACAAATGAAACGCTCCCTGGTAACTGGGAGGTCATGCACGATCCAACGACTGGGAAACCATTCTACGTTGACCATGAACGCAAAATAACGCAATGGACCCGTCCAAAAGAAGAAAAGAAACCAGAGAAGAAGATTTCCTTCGCCCCCGCAAGCACAACCGAAAGTTCTTTTTCTATGCAGAAGTTCCTTCAATTCGATTCGGTGGGTAACCCTCAACAAGAGACACGTTCCTACAGTCAGGAAGCAGCATACTACCACCAGTCCCATTTGGGTGGCATGGATGTCGATTTTTCAGACTCTCTTCCAGGCTTGGACTTCTCAGTTAAAAAAGTAGCCGACAAACTGCGTCTGAACTGTCCAGCTTGTGATGGTTTGTTCACACTTAGTGTTCGTCGTCATCACTGTCGGTTATGCGGAGACGTGTTTTGTCACAATTGCAGTAACAATCGGGTGTCTCTACCGCTCGAGGGAACAGAATTCGAGAAACCAGTCCGAATTTGTAACTCATGCAATGAAGATGTCTCCAGGGGTAACTTTTTCTCGATGAGGCGCTACTTGACGCCACTTCAACTATTCGACCCCGATGATCCAGTGGACGAAGATCCAAGCGGAGTCACCAGTCCTCCAAATGTCAATGCTGCTTTGTCTAGCCTCACCTCAGATTTAGATCAAATGGTACAAAGTGCCGAGGGTTTCGATGAGAAGCTGACCATCCCGGCTAGTATTCTCGTTCCCTGTGTCACGAAACATCTAGGCACCAAGCACGACACGTCTGATCGAGCCATTCGAGCAATCGCCAGCTTGCTCAGTGTTGGATCCATGGTTGGAAAGAACGATTATGCATATGCTATCTACTTTCAAGATGGTCATCGTACTCTAAATCAGATCCTGACAATTTTGGAGCGCTCAGGGTCTAGTCGCTCCACCCTGTTTGTCCAAGAAAAAGCTGCCCAGGCAATGTTCTACCTGACCGAATCTCAAATCTTGGTGTCTATGATGCAAACGAGGGGTGAGTTCTCGCAAACTGTTGAATCGGACCCACTTGACTCTTTAGATATACAAAGAACTATACGTAATATGTTGGACCATTCGAGCGTCAACAAAAACCCACATCTTCAACGTTGGGCGACGGCTACTATTCGAAATCTAATTCTTGAGGATCAGCGTCGCGCATGTCTAGCTATCAATGAAGTCGCGGCAAAAGTGGCCTCAGGAGAGTCCCCTGGGTCGCTCGCATACGAGTCCATACTAGATCAGCTAGTATCCACGGGTGGTGTCATGATCCTCTGTAGCCTCATTGGGGCTGACGACGCTGATACACGTGCACACGCAACAGGAGCCCTCGGAGCAATACTAACTGCCACTCGGGCTATTGATGGCTCGATGTCGGCTTTGTCGGAAATGACAGGAGGAGTCGCAGGTGGGACGGAAAAGAAGGATGGCAATATCGTTCGTGCAATTGTTGCTGGGGGTGGCTGTGGGTCATCTGTGTCCCAATTGCTACTTTCAGCAGACAACACAGTTGCGCGAATGGGCTGCGAATTCATCGGATCACTGGTTCTGCCACTACTCATTGATCCACTAGGAAGCGCAACCCTTCAGTCTTTATATGACTGCAGGAAAGATGAAGGCGGACTAGGTGCTTGTCGTGAAGCTGCTTTGGAGATAGCTAGTGGAAGTTGCTTGCCGGCTATACTATCTTTAGTACGCGAAAATGGCCGAGCATCTAGACCAATCGAACTTCGCAAATCTGCCATGGAAACATTGGCAGCAACGGTACTTGCAGTCGGCGAAATGGGAAAAGCGTGGGCAGATGGAAAATACGAAGAAGGAATCGGAAGAAATGGCGCTCCTGCCATGCTAATACGTGCAATTGCACTTCTGAACGAAGAGCGAGTAGTTGACATTGCACTTGAAAGTCTCAATTCATCATCGGTCCAGTCCCTCGGCTCCTCTCGGGATACTCCTTCCTCAAGGATTCGAGAAGCTGCGGGAACTGTCTTGGCCTCTCTGACATCCTGTTCAGCTGAAGCCATAATCGAACTGCATTCACGCCAAGTATTGTCACAATTACTTGTGTCTTCAGATGATACTAGTATGACTGCTCCTTCGACTCTTCGTGGCGACGCCGCTCCGCGATGTCTCGGGATGCTCGAAGCTGCTGCGTCGACTCTCATATTTGCATGGCAACATCCCTCTGGAGCAAAATCTGAGTTATTGGATCGTCTCATGGAAGCCCTCGATGCTGGCACTATCACTCACTTGTTTCGAGTGCTTACTTCAAAAATGGACTGGGAATCAAGGGATAAATCCGCTGGAGGAATGAAGGCGAGATCTGCCGCCTGTCGCCTGTTATGCTGCCTATTTGGGATTGCATCTACAGGCGACACGTCGATTGGAATGAAAAGACTATTGGATGCTTGTGATGCCGACCAGATGGGGCGTCGCAGTTCGAAGGGTGCACGGAATGTATTGGAAGCAGTTTTGAGTGTGTTACAAACCGCTTTGAATTTGGCACACCGTGTGATTTTGGGTAGTACAAGTCGCGGAGCTCATTATCATGCAGCTCTCTTGGACCTCGTCGATTCTTCGCTCCTTGCTACTGGAAGTATGTGTGGATCGTCTGTAGCACCCGGTGGCGGAGACGGTGTTTTTGTGAAAGGGGTAAGTGCCGCATCCTGTTAGAATCGCGTGCAGTTCTCTACACAGGTGCCTAATTTTCTTTTTTTCGAAGGATGATTTCTTGGTTTCGCACAACGACGATTTTGCAGAGCGGAGGAAAGAGGTGTGCAAAGTTGCCTGCGACGTTGTTATCAGGTCGGGTCGTTCAGGTCCTGCGTTGTTACCAACACTACTAGTTGGAGGTTTTGGTGAAGGCGCCGTGAGCTCTTCACTCCGGCTTTCACTAGCGATTGCACAGAATGGAAGCAAAGAACAACACATGAAACTCGCCCTCAGTGGTATTCTTGTGCCGGTCAGCGACATCTTGCGTGCTGCATTGAGCCGAGGTGATTTATATAGGTTCTCCGCTGCACTTGCTTTGGTAAGGTTTTGTGGTCCACACGTTGCAGCTGGCAAAGGTGGAGGAGTGCCAGCGATTCGTGATGCCATTCGTGTGGCGACGAACGTACTTACGCTTCCTGTTAGCACAGAAGCGAATACTAATCAATTGAGGACACAAGAATCATTGAAATCAGAATGCATTGGTGTTTTGGAATCCCTTAGTGGGAATGCGTCTCTGTGGAGCACAATCTGCACCGACGCTTTGCCTGCGATTGTGAAATATCTTCGGAGTTGTAGCGAAGTTGGCTTATGTACACCGACTATGTCTGAGACCGAGAGTTCTGCTCTTCGAACTGTTTTGGAGATCGTTCAAGTTCCCTCTCATGCTGTGGCGGCTGCTGAGGAAGGATTGTCCACATCACTAGGAAAGATCATGAAGAAGTACACCCAGCCAGAATCAAGCGAATACAAAAAGAATTTGGAAATTGGCTTGTTAGCTATGGAGACACTGCACGTTCTCGTGAAGCAGCCAAATGCTCGTCAGCATTGCGATCTGTTATGTGGCAGTGCACTTAGTAGTATCTGCAGCACGATAGTACTAGCCGCATCTGCGGAAGGAAAGTCGACGAATGAGACAGAAGATATTATTTTCTTTGGATTGGAGGTTCTGTCCATTGCGGTATCCGACATTGAAGAGTCTATGGACACTGCTCACGTTTTGCAGTCATCGGAAGCAGCTGCATTCCTCGAATCCATCCTTGCCGAGCCACGATTTGTGCGTTGCCTGTGTGCGTACATTCTCCCATTACAAATCGAAGCGCACGAAAACGAAAAGAGCTTCTACGACGTTCCATTGCTCTACGGTTTGTCGCCTCCCGTTGTAAATGAGGCTTGTGGAGGATATCAAAATTCTCGTGAATGTGCGCTCTTTCTTCTGTTCACACTTTCAGTTTATGCATGTGCCATTGAATCACCCCAGAGCGAATCGTTCTGGAATACATGCTTGTTGCGCGATTGCCCGATGAGCAGAGAAAGGGACAACTTGGACGTTGCTAGAGCCTCAGCTACATTTTGCTCCGCATACTTACAGCTCCTGGAGCAAGACCACGAAGCTGTAGTGCCCTCAAACCGAGACAAGCAGCTGGACTACGAGAACCTTACACGACCTCTTGTACGTTACCGGCTTTTGGAGTCTTTGGGAGAATCACTTTCAGATTTGACGGAAGAGGCAGCTGAAGATTCCAAGACACTTGATGACTACATGCTCAGCCTCTTGGTTTCATACAACTTGCCTTGTATCTTTCTATCGGTGTGGAAAGATCCAGCCTTGCTTGAGCTCACTTATGAGCTTATGAAGATGACCGTTGAGGCAAATCAAGAAGGCGTGCTGCACTTGTTCGTGAAAAGCAAGGAATCTGTGGTCTCCATATTTGATCTCCTGAATCACAAGCCTGACAATGTTCCGGAGGTTGATATAAGGCGGATTCGCCAGTTTCTGGTGACAACCTTGGAAAAGCTTGCAGAGACCGGACTATTGATGGAAGCCGTTGAAAAGTTTGGTCTGAAGAGCAGCGCCATCAAAGCTCTAGCATCGGCCTGTCTATCTGAAGACTTTGTGAATAAAGAAGAGGAGTTGACATCCCATCTCTTAGCGAGCGGACTCATACAATGCCTTGTACAGCTTTGCACTGTCAAAAATCATGATAAGGACGGAAGGCAACAGAGAGAGATTGTTTTAACGGGGACGGAGGCAGAGGCAATAGCGTTGAGCCTTGGGAGAAAGATCTGTCACATGGTCATATCTCGTTATCTAGAGAGAGCTAAGCTTCAGCAGTATGACCTGGATGAGGAAGAGATAGTTTTGAATGCCCCAGATGTTTCGTTGTTGTGTGCCATGGCTCAACACAGCAAAGCCATGAAAATATTAGAATCCATTGGAGGACTTCATGCCCTTGCACAAGTCGCTGCGGATGGGGAGCCAAATGCCTTGGCTGCATTGCTAGAGGTGAGCTCTATCTTCTTTGTATGCCTCTGAACGATAATCCCTCACATCTTTGTTTAGGGTTCCAAGGGCCAACCACTGCTCTTGCTTGAGGCCGATACGTATTTGTCTGTGCTCTCCCTTCTTTCCGACGAGAGAGAGCATGCATGGAAGAATGACGCGAAAATGCAATCTGTCGTCGAAACTGGTGCCTTTCGCCTTCTGTCGCAGTTGAGTGATGAATCATTAAAGGGAAGAAGACTGATATTCGAGGCTTCAGGTTTTGAACATTCGATAGTTCGGGCGAAAGAGGTGCTGTCTTCTTGGTCTCTGGCTGACAATTCAGAGATCGTAGACGCCGACGATACTAAGCCGTGGAAGTACGATAGCGGCAGAGCCGAAAACCAGATGAACCTATTGATTGCGGCTCTTTCATATGTTGCGACTATGACCCAGGTCTCAGAGGCCTGTTCACTGTTCTTAGACGATGAGGACTGGTTACTGATAGTCTCGAACATGGCAAGCTCTGGAATTTCTACTGACTTGCAGATTGAGGCCCTCAAAGCTATTACCAGTCTATCAATGTGCTCTAGTGCTGACGGTTTCTTGCCCACCGAACGTGTGGGGGAGATTTTTCAAGGTGTCCTGAGAGTGGAGCACACCTCTCAAATTGACGGCTCCTCAAGGGTGAATGAATTGTACTCGCTGGCTACGGAAGGGATTTTGTGCTTGTTCGATTCCCTTCCTGTAGAACAGCAAAGAAGCTTGGTTACTGATGCCGCTTTAAGATACAGAAAGCTGCTAAAGAGCCACACTATTGACCGAACAACAAAGAAGGGATCAAGTCTAGACCAAGGAGGACTGATTGCCTACAATATAACCAGCATCATCATGATTGCGAGCTACAACTCGCATCTCGAAGATGTTCTTGACTCCAGTCTCATCATGTCATTAGCGAACACCCTGCAGTGGCGATATGACCCAAAGACAGCAATTAAAAGAACAGAACAGTGTAGTTGGGATGCATCAGTCACACAGGTTCTTCAAATTTTGTCGCGAATCACACTTCGGGTTGATAGTATTTTCGAGAAGGCGGGATTTTCTCTACAAGATCTCACTGAGGTCGTTTTGATGGTTGCAGCCCCAGGGAAAGCCCCAAGACAGGCAATAAGTTTCCTACATGCTCTGGAGGAAGCTCAGAAAGTTGGGGAGCCTGCGTCGAAATTGGCTGCTAGGCGAATAGCCAGAACTCTTAAAGGGTAGCAGCTCATAAACTGAACCAGGCTAATGTAGAAGTGCTTATAGCTTATAGCTTCCTACTTCTACTGATTCCGCTCTTGATTCCAGTTTCCTCACCCGAATACTTGTGTCCCTCGGAAGTTCGAATTTCTCTCACTGTTCCCTTTCGTGAAATGAGGGCCTTGCGGTACTGTTCGCGCTTCTTCACACGGGGATTCCTGTTAATTTTGGCTTTGTGAGCTACTAGGCCTCGGTTCTTCAGCATAGCTCTGCTAATCGCACGTTCCCCGGATACCTCAGCGACAGTGCCAGGGAACTTGGGCGCCACTTCGTAAAGTTTCTTCTTGATTGCCTTTCTTTGTTTGCTTCTACCTGCAACAGCAGAATAGAAATCACGAGTTGGATGAGATTTGCGTGTTTCTGACCAAATGTCCTCCTTCATATCATTGCTCTCTTTCTGTTCGTCGACATCGGATGTTGTACGCAGCTCTTCCTCCATCATATTTAATCCTTGGACTAAAGCACTATTTTCTGCGGTCTCGTCAATTTCTTCAACCTGAGTACGCTTCGGCTCTTTTCTGGATTTTTGCTCCAAAGTATTTATGGTGGATAAGAAGTGTTTTTTGCGTCGGATCTCTTCATTGTTCAGGTCACCAAAGTAATTGTCTGCTGACTCCTTGCGTCGCTTCGAAACAGTGGATCGTTTTACGACCTCGGATGCGCGTAAGCCAAACTTTGCCTCATTCATCAAATAATCCTCTGTCTCTACAATTTTTGACGATACCGTTTCAGAAGCAACACCAATAGTGTCAAAATCTTGTTCATCATTCTCTTGTGGCTTGAGTGACGTCTCAGGCACTACGGAGATACCCTTATCTCCCTCGTCCGAATTAGTCATAGACGCATCACTATCTTGATTGCCGCTTTCTCCATCCATCATCGCAATAGCCTGAATAAGGTAAGAGATCTGGTCCTCAATATTATCTCTGTGGATTCCAACATCCTGCTTTAATGCATCAGCGAAGACCACGCACTTTTGCAATTGCGCCATCACTGGATGACACTGGATATCAGAGGCCGACCTTCTCTCACCTGCACCGCCATTCGCGTCTTGTTTCAGGAGAAGATAAATTGCAGCATTCAATGCAGCAGAGGTTCCAAGGATAGACTTTGTCAGCAAATATTGCTGGCCCTCCTTCGTTGCACCGACATTCTAAGGAATAATCCAATTACTATTTAAGGGAAAATTGCAAATAATATCACTAAAAGGCCTTTCCACTCACCTCAATGATATCACTGCTTCGATTGAATAGAGCGTTGGCTGCGTGCGTTGCACGTTTGCACTCTGTGCAAACATCAGAAAAAAAAGCAACAAGGGGAAGAAGCTCTGGATGCTGTTTCTTGATAAATCTACGCTTCTCTTTTGAAGAAAAATTTGCCAATTCACGAGTTGCAGTTCTGCTTGCGTCTCCATCGAGCTGTTCCGCCTTCTTTGCCCTACCTTCGTCATTTTCAGATGTTTCCTCCGGCATGAAATCATCATCATCCATAACCTGAAATCTGGAAGACTCGACCTCCTTCGCCGCTTCCTCTTCGTCAAACGCATCCTCTTTCTCCTGGCCGATTTCGATGTCAGCAGTGTCCCCGTGATAGTATAATGACTTTTTCTTCCCCCAACGACTGGAGTCCAGATTGTTCTCCAACGAGGAATCTTCCTCGCCTGAAGAGGAGCCCACATACGAGTCTTTCTCTTCTTCGCGTACCCCATCTTGTAGGGATCCCTCGTCTTCATCTCCACTGCTCTCATCGCTTGAGTCACTCCCTTCTTCTATCCCCAGATCCATGACATTTTGTTTGGCAAGAGTATTGCTACCTGTTGATCCGTCATCACCAACTGAATCATCATCTGAAGAATTCCCAACTCGCATAAATTTATCGTCTCCTAATCTCAACTCGCCGTTCTTCGAAACGGAAGGTCTTGAGTTGTAGACTGCCTTGTCACCGGTCTTGGCAGTGTTCCGTCGACCCATGGTTTGAAATTCGTATTTATTATGCTGTTTGTAAAAAAGAGGGAGATTCACTGGATGTCATTCTGCGCGTCCGAAGGCGCGGTACAGTAGCTCATGTTACAAGAAGGGCAGAGGACAGACGAAGGGACAGAAAGAAAATGATACAAGTAGAAAGAAAATGATACAAGTAGAAAGAAAGTAGGTACTAGAAGGAAAGGGGTGGAAAGCAAGAAACGTTGGGGGAAATCTGCGCTATCATTTGCTGAAGCCGACAGTCAGTTCGAATGGTGTTGTTAAAGGACAAGGTTTTGATTCCTTTGACTCAGAGCTGTAGCGTAGACAGCAATTTTCAGATAATTGTGATATCCGGACGGACGGGGCTACTTCTGTGAGCGGGATCTCTAGTCGATTCCCGCTTGGAATGCTCGTCCAGCCGTCAAATTCTCGCTATGCTATTTGCCAAAATAGACCTCGCGAAAACACGCCCGCCAGTATACCCAGCGATTGTCAACGGATGAATGATCGCCAGTTTGAAAACCTTTAGCTTCCGGTGGAGAAATAGAATTATTTTTCTCCACACGGTGGAGAAATGGATTTTTTTCTTCTCCACACGGTGGAGAAAACAGCTTCCGGTGGAGAAAACAGCTTCCGGTGGAGAAACGACACCTGTTGGTGAAATGGGATCTTAACAAATAAAAGAACAGTCGAACATGTCGGACAGTGAAGTCGGACATTCGTGATATCGAACACGGACGGGATATATATAACTGAATCATTAATTGGTATTATGCTACTTCTAGAGTATCCAACTGCCGGTGTAATACGGCTGTAGAGGCCAGGAACTAGGTTGCTTTTGGTCAACAAAGTTTGAACCACGTGGAGGC